GGAAAAACTTGCCAGCTGTCTAGACTGGCCGCTTGAATTTCCGCAAGAACACTGACTTCCTACTGTCTGAAATCAGTGCTTCTTGCGGAAATACTATGCTGCTCCCGTTCAGGCAAAAGTCCTTTTGCGCAAAAGGGCCAGTGCAGACAGCTCAGATTTGTTTTGCGCAAAAAAGCCCTGACTGCGAAAATGGCGTGATCGGGGCTTTTTTGCACAAAAGCGCGTCTAGATTGGCACAGATGCTTTTCCGCAAATGCTTTTAACAGAAAACTTTTCCGTTAAAAGCATTTGCGGAAAATCATGCCAGTCTAGACGTAGCCACCAGGTTTGAACAAAATACCTGTGTTCCATACTTCCATATCCCAAGAACTGGCATAGCAAAGGAAGTTGGGATGAGTGGAAGTAAGGGATAAGAATGTTAAGACGCCGGTAACTGGCTAATCGTGTACTCAATACAATTTGTATCAATTGCATGATTAGTCAATAAGGGAAGGCACTCAGTCCCAGCTCACACTGGGTCCAGAAGCTACCCCCACTGTAGCGCTGTAGTTTAAATGTAGTAGGAGTCGGGCATGCAGGCAGTCCGGCTCCTACACTTAAACTGCAGAGCTATAATGGGAGTTAGTCCTGGCTCACACCATGTCCAGGACCTAAGTGAGCCCAGCTCAGTCCCAGCTCAGATCTGGTCCAGGACCTATTTCTGCTGTGGCTCCGCATTTTCAATGTAGTAAGAGCCAGTTAAGCTCTTGCTACATTTAAAATACAGAACCACAGCAGTCCCAGACCCTGCCTGAGCTGGGACTGACCAGAACTTGCTCAGTCCCAGCTTGTGCTGGCTCCAGCAGCCCTTGTCCACTGGAGCAGCCTATGTTCTTAGTCAGCCTGGGCCACTGCAGACAGGGACTACTTTGTGGCAGCCTTCCCTGTCCTCTCCCCTGGGCTGCTGCCTCTTGTATACCTAGAATTTGTGGAGCGTGCTGACTGAACCATAGCAGTGCTTTGACTGGATGGCAGCCCGGCTCCCACTATATTTAAACTGCGGAGCCACAGCCGGAGTTGCTCCAGAACTCCAACCTCCCCTTATCGACTAATCATGTAGTCGATACAAATTGTATGAACTACACAATTAAGTCAATTACCTGCTTCTTAACATCCTTACTTATAAATAAGCCAAATCTCAGCATCTCCTCTACCTTCCTACAGACAGCTTCTCATTCCATTCCCACCATCCTCTCTGCTCTTGGTGCAAGAGCTCTAAGGTAACCAGATAGCAAGTACAAAAAATGGGGACACGTTTTTGGAGGGAGGCATAATTGCCTATATAAGACAAAGCCTCTGGTATTGGCACTCTGGTCACGCTAAAGGGGTCTCGTGTTTCATTTTCAGAGGAGCCTAGTAGTGTGCACCATACACCTACCCTCCAGATTCTTGACTTTCTTCTGACCTCAGTCTCTGAAGATCATACAGGAGCCCAAGATAAATTGTGATCACATAGTACAAAACAGAGCTTGTGTTTTGGAGACATCAGGATTTAATATTCACTCAAAGGCAGAATTCACTGCAGTGCAGAACTGTCAAACACCTGGCCCATTTGAAACATTTGTGAATGCCTGGGCAGAATCAAATTGTCCAAGATCTAAACTGTTTTTTTAAGAGTAAGGTTTCTAGTCCTCATGATTAACAAAGGTAGCCCTTAAAAATTGTCTGCCTGTCTGCACGCAGCCTGAAATAATAGTCCTGTGATGTGTCAATTCTCACCACAGAATGGTAGACTGGGAAGAGCTCCAGAGAGATCTAGTTAGGACCCCTGCACTCATTGCAGGACTAAATATTCTCTAATACCATCCCTAATAGGTATTTGTCTAACCTGCTCTTAAAAATCTTCAATGGTGGAGATTCCAAAACCTCCCTAGGCAATTTATTCCCATGTTCAATTACCCTGACAAATTGTTACCCAA